ACATCGAGCATACTCGTTATATCAGGTGATATAATCCCAGAGGGATTCATTCGTTTTATGTCTAACGGCCGAGAGATCGTTGGCCGTGTACAGTCGGCTCGATATGATCATATATCTATCCAGGAAAGCCTGGTGTAGCTCAAAGAACTAGCCAATGAACTCGGGGCTTGAACGTTTGAACCAATTTAACGTCGCGCCCTTCAGGGGTTGTCGGGAAGAGTCGGCACTTGGTGGCCTCGTTCGCCCCCCTGCCCTCTATAGCGTAGCAAAAGCTGTCGAGGTGATCGTAGGGGTCGGTGAGTCCTTCGTAAAGGGCAATTTTAGGCGCCTTTGTGTCGCCTACTATGACCAAGTCAAGGAGGTCCTTCGTATAGGGAAGGGGGATCTCGTCTTCGGAGAACGAGGGGATAAGTGGGTGGTAGGTCTTCTCGACCTTGCTGAGTCGGTCCCAGACGCTCCCCATCTCTCCTTTGATCATGGCTCTCATAGTTTCTCTTAGGTCAACCTCGTTGGCGGTAATGGCTGGGGCGTCGGGTCCAGCCTCACCTCCCCCTCCCTCCTGCGGGGTAGGTCCTCTGGTGGTGTACCTCCTTTGATTGATCTCAGGGGTGCTGTCGAGCCCGACGTTTCTGATCTGAGGCTTGTGCAGATGCCGTTTCCTTGCCAAACAGGCGTCGTTCCACCTGCCTCGTGCGACTAGAATCCCTGATGGCTCTTCTCTAGGCTCTTCGTAAGTTCACTTGGAGGCCGATCTGCTGCTCCTCGAGGGTTCATTTTGGTTTTGAAGAACCTTGTTTTGGTCTTGAATGACGTCCGCCTCGTTTAGGGGTAGCTCCATCTTGGCTTCGAGGGCGTTCAGCCGCTGTTTTTCTGCCCTTCGCAGCTTCATGCTTTTCTGGCTAGGAGTCTCTAGGGTGGAGGCTGCCTTCATTTTCCGGCTCAACATGTTGGTAGTGAAGTAGCCAACGCGTAACCTTTGAGTGTGTCTTCCCACAGACGGTGCCAAATGTTGAACCCACCAACCGCTTAAGTGGATAACACAATTTATGTACGTGGGTTCTGAGGTAAATCAAGGCAAGTTAGATCATAATCTCTTCTTTTCCAAGAATGTATTTTATAGATCAAGTAAATGGGCTTCACTAGAGGGAGAAAAAACCATGCTCTTCTGCAAGAGGTCCCCCCCTCCCCCCTATTTATAGGGGGTTTTGATAATAAAATGTATTACAAGCTGACCACCTCTGCTAGGAGCCGAGCCGTATATGTCACATCCTGTTTTTGCTAGAGAGCAGTTGGATGGGCTTATCACCCATGTTCATAGTTCAAGGTGGCCTGTGTCTTCTGTCTTTGCTGTGTTGGGGGGCGCCGCTGGCAGAGTAGCCTTCATGTCAGGTGTGGAGGCAATCTTATCTTGTTGTCAATGTGGGTGGTTCCTCATATTGTGGCGGGGTAGTGTTAGGAGCTGACGCCGAGACCTTTGGGTGTAGTTTTCTGCACAGGGTCCATGTGTTGTCTTTTTATTAGGCAGTTAGGCTCGGCATATGCCGAGCGTCAACATAAGTAATGTCTATCTCCGTCTTCCATCATCCAGAATCTGAGAGATATGATCAAATGACCGGTCTAGTAGTGGTAGTTCATAGCATTCATGATCATATGTCAAACACATGCCGGAATGTTAGAGCCATTTGTGTTGAACCATCTGAAATTGAATTTTTTGTTGCTCCTTCTCGATTAAGGTTAAACTAGAGTGACACTTCAGGTTTTCTGACCCCAAAAAAGTGACAATGGGGCAGAGTTAAGCTTGAACTCTTAATTCCAACCCCACATACAATAATTACAAAACAAAACAAAACAAAAACTGTGAAACCAGAAAAATGAGCAAGTCTTTGTGACCCTATTCAAGTGACGAAATGTTAGGAGGAGAATTTGACTACCAAAAATGATGAAAAATAGGTCAAGATTTGAAGGGTTCGGCCGATTTTTTGTCCACTAAAAAATCTGTATGTTGCGTGAATATATTGTATGCATAATTAATATTAGAAGAGGCTAATGTGAAAAAAAAAAATTTGAACCTAATGGCAGCCAAGAAAATGCTTAATTATTGGACTGGTAAACTGGCAAAGTTTAAAACGAGATGGTTTAGACTGTTTTGGTGAAAATGGTGGGTAGGATTTCCAGTCATTGACTCTTACCAGCTTTGCTGTACTAGTAGCTAGCTTGGCTTGAAAGGGAAGGTCATCACTTCACTAGGATGACAAGTTGACTAGACATGTCAAAAAGTTTGGAAAAGAAGCCATGGGGACAAGGAGGAGGATGAGAGAAGGTGCATGTGCATCACTAATTTGAAATTAATTATGTGCCTCACACTACTTAATCATCTATAGCAAATCACTTGTAGATATTAATGATGGATTTGAAGGTTCATAACAAATGTATGAACAAAAGATCTATAAAATGTTAAAATATTACTAAAAGTTCATCCTATTGTGTCAAATTGTTATGAGCATTAATGCTTTGCAGGCAATGCGGCTGCATTCAGTTCAGTTATTTTCTCGCATGCTCACTTCACTTGGTGACAGATTTGCGTCTAAATCTCTTGATTCATGTGATTGGGATCGCTTGCTCCCAACACTTAGAAAATATGTAAACATGTTTTTCATGAATGAAATCATCTTTTTCAGATTTGCGTCTTAATCTCTTGGTCCAAAATTTTCTTTGACATGAATGAATCATCTTTTTCCCCTGTAGAGTAACATGTTAGCTGTAAGCGTACACAAAGAAGAAAAGGACATGCTGCAACTTGCAAGCATACCAAGACTCTTTGAGACAACTTGGTTGCATCATCTTTAGACTTGTTAGCTCTTCTTTCAGTTTCGATCAGCATACGAAAATTTTGGATAAAATATATACACTTCCTGCAATATTTTCCTTCACCAAAATTTCAAAACTTGCCAATCTTACATTTGGGAAGCGTGTTCTAATTATGTATAACTATAAGTTGGTCCACATAGAAATATTGAAACGCAATCCAACTAGTTCTCTTTCATGTGACTTCAGGTCAACAAAAACAATTTGAAACCACAAATACATGGGTAGGTAACAGTGGCGGTCCTACGTTTTGGTAGTACTAGACAAACATCCTAAATGAGGCCTTCTACTCTATGTGTATATTTATGTGAATTTTTTTTTTCCTGTAAGTTAAAAAAATATTATATGAACTCAAATTCACAATTGTAACATAAAAGAAACAATCAATGTGTAATTTACACAAGACTTTATAAAATGCATCACTTAAATGTCACTCATTTTTCATTTTTCGATTCAAAAATATTAATTAACATAATCAAGTTTTTCTCCCATGTATTTTTTAGTTTCCTAATTGATTCAACTAGGTTAATTGATTTAAGCTATAAGTTTTAAAATAAAAAATAAAAAAATTGGGTCTTTATTGAGTTTTCTCTTTTTAATTTTGAATTGAGTAATTGGGCAATTTTTTATTTTCTTTTATCTATTTTTACAATTAGTGGGTCTTTATTGAGTTTACACTTTTTAATTTTGAATTGAATAGTTATGTAAATTAATTTACAATAATTGGTTTGGGCCTAACATAATATTTTATATAATATAGTTTTTAAAATAATATAGGTATGTATATATAGGGTATTATACAAATTGGAGGCCCTCCCAATTTGGAGACCTTGGACGTCCGCTTTGTCTGTTTGTGCCCAAAGCCTCTCCTGGTAGGTTAACTTACGTGTAGCTAGGGTTATCTTTTTTTCTTCATGATCAGGTTGGTTGAATGAATATAATGACCTCACTTTCGTGAGAACTCAGAAACTTTGGTGGTCCAACTTTTCTTGGCATTCATGAGTTGTTTGAATCTATATGGCTAGCTTTTCTTTTGAAATCGTAGCTTTTTTACTTTGACGGACATATTAATCTGTGCTAAGCATCAAAACACCATGCATGCATGTTTTTCACGCGAATATCTCAATTTATATGCTTTTTTCTAGACCAAAAGCTTTGCATTTTAATTCAAAGATATATCAACTAATCACATCGACAGAGATGTTATTGATATATTATTTATTTAAGACTCCAATTAAACTTCTATTATGTGTTATTGTCATTTGACAATAACATTAGATAAAAAGAGCATTTTATTTTTTAGTTGTACATTTTTACTTTAAAAAATTTCTTGTAGTCCCGGTCTACTGGTATGATTCTTTCTCTTTCAAAAGTTAGGAGATATCTCAAATTCAAATCTCTCTCCTCATTAATCAAAAAATAAAAATCATTTTGGAGAAGGTACATATTTTCTTCTTGTAATGCTAGGGGAGACAACTCGTCTCAATTTTTTTTTTCCCTATAATTGATCTGCTACCCACCCATAGTGAATGGGGTTATCTTATCTCAGTTTTTTATATAAACTAATATGACACATACCATAACAATTAGTATGAATAAAGACATAAAAATAAGTTCATGCAAAAAAAAATCTAGTTGAATTAAGTTATAGAAGCTCTCATAGAAATTATTCCAATTTTCGTTTTTCTTTATAATTCCCTCATATAGTCATCAAAAGAATAACACAATGGAATAAAGTTAGATGGTTGGACTCTAAAACTAAAATGGGTCTCACAAGGAGCTTGTAAATCTTGTGATTAAAAGCGATTTTCCTTACACTTAAGATCCTGTGTTCATATTCCCGCCTTCAATATTGTTTCTACAAAATAAAATAAAAATGAGTTCTGTATTTGGACGTAGGGAATAGTCAGAGAATTTTTTGTATGGGTAAAAAAAACTTTTTTGAGAAAAATAAAGTTACTATGTTGACTAATAGGAAAGATAGGGTCAAAGAAGAGAGGTGAGGTGAGTGAGAAATAAGGGGGGGAATATGCCTGGTAAAAACGAAGATTCCTCTGAACATTTACTGGGAGATGATGAGGGTCTGTTGCAGTTAAATACGGAACCAACCCCGCTTCCTTCCCTCCACTCCCGTACTTTCGCTCTCTCGCTCCTCCTTTTCTTTCTGAGTCTAAATATAATAGAAAGAAACATACAAAGAAAACCACTCTCCTTAGCTTCATCACTCTCTTTAAACCTCTCTGTTTTCTTTTTGCCACTACTAATTGCATTAAGACAAGACATGGGTTTTTCTCCTTGCACTGTGATTTCCTCATAATTGCATTCAGATTCTCTCACCTTCGTTTTCAGCTACAGCTACAAGGTTTGCCGATTCTTTCCACTCTACCTTTTTTCTTTTTTTTTGCTTTGATTTTTCACTCACGTGGGTTTGTTTTGTTCATATCTGTTCTTTAATTGCCTGCATAATTTGGGATCAATCAATGCCTGGAATTTTCAATTCCTTTCTTTCTCAGCTCTCACAAGCTTCATTCTTTTCCATGAAAGTAAATAAATTGTAACATATTGCAGAGATTTATCTAATGCGCAGAGTTTGTTTTGCTAAGCCTTGTGTTGCATTTTGCAACGTTATCAAGAACCCAATATAAAAATTTAGAAAAAGCAAACACATTTTCTTGATTTGGGCACGTGAAAATCAGTTTCTTTTCATCTTTGGTGTTGGATGGTAATTGGGTAATTACCGTAATGTCAAGCAACTTGGGCATCTTTTGTTGCTCTTGTTCAAGAATATTCCTGGATGTTCTTTTCTGTTTCTCCATACTTCACGTCTGTTCTCAAAGAAAGCAGAGGAAAAAGGGAGATATTTTATTTGCTTGACAGATTTTTCAAGTAGTGAAATGAAAAGGTGTAACTGAAAATCATTCTATATAATCTGGGCTTATAAAGCACAATTCTTTCATAAGTTTTCTGCTTCAAAGTAAATTATAAAGGTTTGTTGCCTTCAAATTTTGCGTTCTCTAAGCTCCTGTAGTATTGGAGATCATTTCCCTGTGTGTTTTTTTGTTTCTAGTTCTTTCTTTGTTGTGTAGTGAATCATTAATTCTCCTTTCTTTGATGGAAATTGGGTTGCATGAGAAATTATTTAACTCTATGTTTATCCCTTTTATTTTGTCTGTTTAGAGCTTAGAAAACGAGTAGTTGTAGTTGCAGTTGTAGATGCAGATGCAGCTGTAGTTTGACCATATCCCTGCTTTCAAGAATTTTAAATTCACTGTTTGAAATCCATATGTTAATCCATCTGTCTGCTAATTCAGCTGCATCCATTAGCAATTTAATATATTCTGACTGATGAACATTTAATTTAGTTTCTGAATTTGACATAGACCAACTTTTGTTTTCTTCTTATAGAAGAAGAAGAAAAGTATTTTATTCCACTTTCTTTAGAATTAATTTCACTTTATTGACCCATGACTTCCTGTGCTCCGGGTCATTTTCTCATGTTTCTTTTAGTTGTCAATTGTCATCATTCTGGCCAACTTGGTCTAGCCTAGTGAAAAACATCTTGAACTTCCATAATATTAGTTTTGTGTGTGTGAGAAACTTCATCCCCTTTAGTTATAGCTTCTCCTCGTACTTCTTAAAGAAAAGGTCGAATGGTTCTCTTTAAAACTCATCTGTTCACAGAGGAATCATATCAACCCCTATTTTGTCTTCTTCTCAATACCTGTTTTCTTTTCTGTCTTTTTTTTGTTGTGCAGTCACAAGTTTAATAGATTGATTTTTTTTCCTTTCTGCAATCAAAATTTCAGGTTAAACAGTTGAAGAAAATACAACAGGGCAGACCAACTTCAGAGAAGGGGTGATTTTGTGATGGCCAAGGAACAACTGGAAGTGCTGAATGCACTTGATGTGGCGAAAACACAATGGTACCATTTCACAGCAATTGTGATTGCTGGCATGGGCTTCTTCACAGATGCCTATGATCTCTTCTGCATTTCCCTTGTCACCAAATTGATTGGCCGCATATATTATCAACAACCTGGAGCTGCTGAGCCTGGAAGTTTGCCTTCAAATGTCTCGGCTGCTGTTAATGGTGTGGCCTTCTGCGGCACCCTCACAGGCCAGCTCTTCTTCGGCTGGCTTGGTGACAAATTGGGCCGAAAACGAGTCTACGGCATGGTCCTTATGGTCATGGTCATATGCTCAGTTGCATCCGGCCTCTCATTTGGGAGAGACGCCAAGGCTGTGGTTTCGACACTTTGCTTTTTCAGGTTCTGGCTAGGCTTTGGAATTGGCGGCGACTATCCTCTCTCAGCCACTATCATGTCTGAGTATGCAAATAAAAAGACCCGTGGTGCCTTCATTGCTGCTGTGTTTGCCATGCAAGGTTTTGGGATTTTGGCTGGTGGAATGGTTGCAATTATAGTATCTGCAGCATTCAAGCACAGTTTTCCTGCACCCTCTTATGAAGCTGATGCAGCTGCCTCTATTTTCCCACAAGCCGATTATGTTTGGCGAATTATTTTGATGTTTGGTGCACTCCCAGCTTTGCTTACTTATTACTGGCGTGCCAAAATGCCCGAAACTGCTCGGTACACTGCCTTGGTTGCCAAGAATGCCAAGCAGGCTGCTGCTGATATGTCGAAAGTTTTGCAGGTTGAGGTAGAACCAGAGCAGGAGAAGATAGAGCAACAAGGAGGGAATGATTTTGGTTTGTTTTCCAAAGACTTTCTTAGCCGCCATGGCTGGCACTTGCTTGGAACTACCAGCACATGGTTCTTGCTGGACATTGCCTTCTACAGCCAGAATCTATTCCAAAAGGACATCTTCAGTGCCATTGGCTGGATCCCAAAGGCAAAGACCATGAGCGCTCTTGAAGAGGTCTTCAAAATTGCCAGAGCACAAACTCTCATTGCTCTCTGCAGCACAGTCCCCGGGTACTGGTTCACCGTGGCATTCATAGACAGGATTGGAAGGTTCACAATTCAAATAATGGGGTTTTTCTTCATGACAGTCTTCATGTTTGCCTTGGCCATTCCTTACCAGCACTGGACTCTTAGAGAGAACCGAGTTGGGTTTGTTGTGATGTACTCATTGACCTTCTTCTTCTCCAATTTCGGTCCAAATGCCACGACATTCGTGGTGCCTGCAGAGATTTTCCCAGCAAGGCTGAGGTCCACATGCCATGGTATATCAGCTGCAGCAGGGAAGGCTGGGGCAATTGTGGGTGCATTTGGATTTCAGTATGCAGAAAAGGGTATTGGGGTGAGGAACTGCCTCATAATTCTGGGTGTGGTTAACTTCCTAGGGCTGTTGTTTACATTCTTGGTGCCTGAGTCAAAGGGAAGATCACTGGAGGACCTGTCTGGTGAAGCAGAGCAAGAAAATGCAGCTCCATCAGAATCAAGGCAGCAGGAGATCGAAAGTGGCACAAGAACTGCTCCAGTTTAATTAGGCTTTTTCTTTTCTTATCAGATTATTATAGCATTGTTGTGTAGGATTTTTCGAATGTTTGATCATGTTGCTTTATCTTCATGCTCTGAGCCTGTTTATTGTTTGTGGTAGCCTACGTTCCAATTAAAAGTAATTAAAAAGAAAGTTGGCTAAATGCTCCTAATTTTCCCAGTTGTAATTTTTTTTTATATATATCATTTATGCCCCCTCATCTAGCATACCTTCTACTTTCTGTCCAAATAATTGCATGAATGCACTCTCTGATCAAATTTATGCAAATTATTACCTTCATTTGGACTCATAGTCAAGGCACTCATGGTCAAGATACTCCCCAAACACGACCCATAGTCAAGACAAGGCATGAGCGATTTTGACATTTTTAAAAATAAAACGGGGTCAAAACGAAATTTAACAATCTGGGGCAAAAATTATAATTTCAAAACTCTCTTAAACTTATTCCAATTACCTTATCAGCCCCTCTTCTTTCTTTCCCGAGTCCCGACTTCCCCCACATTTTTTTTATTCTCCTTTTTTTCTTTTTCTTTTTCCTTTTCAGTTTTCATTATATTTTCTTCTCTTCTTGGTACTTGAGATCAATTTTTGTTTTATTTTATGTGGTTTAATTATTATGTGAATGAATCATGAAGAATACATGAGTACTTTTTTTATCTTATGGTATAAAAAATTGAAGTATGAACATGAACATTTTGTTTATTTAATATATAGAGTTTTTAATTCAAATGGTCCTCAAATTTATATCCGAGTTGCATTTTTATCCATCAACTAAATTATTCGTTCAAATGGTCTACCAACTCTTTGTTATTGGTGCATTGGCCCTATCGTTACATTTTTTATGAGATTTAGTCATGTGAACGGCATATGAGGGGTACAAGAATGGTATATATGTCTTTTCATAGCTCATTTAAAAAAAATCATTATATAAAATAATAAAATAACATTTTCTAATAATCTATATACATATATTAAAAAAAACATAAAAATAAAAATAAAAGATAAAAGATCCTACTCTCTCTCTCTCTCTCTCTCTCTCTCTCTCTCTCTCCAAAACCAGACGAAGAGTATGAGCTCATGGATAGAAGAAGAAGAAGAAGATGTTAGTTGCCGCTGATGCGTGTTCATGATCAAACATAATCCCAACATAATCGAAACCATAAAGTAACCCAAGAGCCTAAATGAACCCTATCACCACCACCTGAAAAAATATCGTTGTATTCACCGCCACCTGAAAAAGTGACGTCGTGCTCATTCTTTGTGCTCTCTCACGCTCGCTTCACTACACATAGAGAAGCTTACATATTTCTTGCTATTTGCATCCCTCTCTCTATTTCTCTCGTCGCATAACTAGTCACGTACATAAAAAGAAATAGTTATATTATAACTACGGATGCGCACGGATAAAACGGATATAAATGCAAACATGCCACGGTGCCACCCCACCATGGCCACCACCACCTCCCAGAAGGCAGAAGCAGCTATATATTCCACATCTCTTTTGCACTAGGACGCTAAGAGTGATCGAATGGATAATTTGACGTTTGATGAACACAAAGAAATGGGAATGGTTGGGTGGCCCTTCCTCACATGGGTCGGTTTTTCTTTTCCTCAATGACTTTTGTTTTTCGACCAAAAAAAAGACTGGTTGTTTGATAGCATCAACTTGATCCTTGTATGGTAGCTAAATTAGTAGGCAGGCACGCACTAGACTTGGAACATGTAAAAAAAATCAGCCTTGTCACACCAATTTAGTAGGCCCATAGGCCCCAAATATTGTCCCTCTAATATCCAAATTGTACTCCGAGTAGTGATAAATAATCAGTACCATGCCGCCATTATTTAGGCATGGAGGGACCATCGTCACTTTAATGACCATGGACCTCACTAGTTCTAATATCCATTTCATCCACATAAATCAAATCAAGGGTGATATTGCCATTCTATCAACAATGTTTTGACGTGCCCACATAAAATGGGACTTCATTCCATTTTTACGTGTAATATTAACGAAAGAAAAGCATTTTAAAAATAAAATAAATACTCTTAACCATTTAAACTATAACTTTTTCGTAAATCCAATCGCCTGATAACATTGTGTCATCTTAAAATGGTTTCAAGGCATATTCGCTCGTGGCAAAAGGGGCTACATTACTCATTCTTAAAAACGAAGAGTAACACAGAGAATGCACAACATTATCAAAATTCAACATGGTTTCCACTTCCAGGCAACACTAAATCTCAGATAGGCTATAGAAATATAGCATCCATCAATGACAAGTTACCATCAAAGTCTACTTCTATTTCACATCACTTCCAAATGTTTCAAGGATAAGATTTGCCTCTTAACCCCTTATCTGTTATTAGGATCAAAATTAAGATTTACTTTTATTTTTCTTATAGACCCGTTATCTGTTATTAGGATCAAAATTAAAGAATTCCAGAGCTAAATAATAGCAGAAACCAGAGGAAACTCAACTCCAAAGCTCTCATTACACATACCACCACCATATTAAAATTAAAAACAACCAAACAAAAAAGAAGAAAAAAACACTCCAATATATATCAAGCGCAGAGAAAAAAACAAACAAAAAACAAAAAAAACTCGCTTTTTTCCTTTTTTCTTTTCCGGGAAAGCAACTACAAATGCTTTCATTTTCCCCGACACCATTGCGCATATGTACAGTAGCTAGCACCAAGCTTTTACAAAATCTATTTATAAGGAGGCTTAATTAGATGCTTCACGCTTAATCAGCCCCAGCTCTGGCCCCTCCCCCGCTTGTAATCCATGGATGTCCTGTACCCAAACAACCCCACATTAGATTTTTACTCTATAGTCCCCGTTTCCACTCAATTATTATGATTAACAAACTTTGAAAATTGGATGTCTCGCTATTCCAATTAAGGATATGAAATTACCCAACCTATCCCCGCAACCAAACAGTCTAAGCGGACGTGAAAACTGAAATTAATCAAACAAAAATCAACACAGACTACTTACTGAGAACTTGCTCAGCCGAGAACCTTCTGGAAACGTCCTTACACAGCATCCGCCTCAACAAATCTTTGACGGACGCCGAGACGCCGTTGAAAACCCTCGAAGGAAATCTCAAGTTCGCTCTGAGCACCGCCTCGAAGATCTCTGCTGCCGTTTCGCCGTAAAATGGAGGGAAACCGGCCAGCATTATGTACAGAACAACACCGGAGCTCCAAACGTCGACCTTCTCCCCGTACTCCCTTCCCGCCACCAATTCCGGCGCCACGTAGTACGGCGTTCCGACAAGGCCGCTCATCGTCTCGCCATCCCCGAACGTCTCGGCCGATCCGAAATCGGCGAGCCGGAGCCGGTCCCGACCGTCGAACAAGATGTTGTCGGGCTTGATGTCCCGGTGAGCCACGCCGAGGCGGTGGCAGTGCGCGACGGCGAGCATGAGCTGAGCCATGACCGAGGCGGCCTCGGGCTCGGAGAAGACTCCGAGAGTGACTCGGCGGTAGAGATCGGGCGCATCGCAGAGGTCGAGGACCATGTGGAGGTGGTCGTCGTCTTCGTAGAGGTCGTGGAGGTTGATGACGTTGGGGTGCGAGGCCAAAAGCTTCAAAATCTTCGGCTCCGTCAACAGACATTGGGCATCGAGCGAGTCGCCTGAGTCGGCGATTCGCTTGTCGATCGATTTGACGGCGAAAACGTCGCCGTTCCTCTGGGCTTTGAAAACGACGCCGAATCGTCCACGGCCGAGCTCCTCGCACAGCTGGTAGTCTCGCTGCAGTGCCTCACTCATTAGTTTAACTAAGTCTGTGATTTTTGGAGTCAAACGGGAGGTTGGGTTGGTTTCGTTGGGATTTTAATAGGCGCGATGGTTACGGGAATGTTTCGGGAGAATATTCGGGGTGTAAATGGAATCGTTCCTTCTGCGCCCGCCACGTGTTTCATGTAGAATCTAACGGCTGGAGATTCGAAGTGAATCAACGAACCTGTACCCGTGGGGTGGGTTGAAATTACGCAAATGCCCTTTCTTCCAATGGAAATGGAAAAGGAGAACGTGATTTCCGTACTGTTGCCGTCCTTTCTAGTAATTGGAAGTCCGTGTCGTACACTATCAGGTATTTCTCCTGCTGCTTTATTTTTTATTTTTTGGTTTTTTATAAGGATTTTCTTTGTGGTTGGTTTAGTAGTTGGAAACCTATTCGACTCCCACCTATAAAAGGTAATTACAGATTACCACAATTTAAGTGCGTATCTAGACATCGTAATGCATGTTATTCATACAAGCACTAGTGCATGTTGGGTGAAACACTATTTTTTCTTTTTTGTCTGTAAGTCAAGACTCTCTTTTACTGGACTAGATCCCGTTGATAACACTATCTTGTTTTTAGTTTGATATTATTCATAATAATTGTGTATGCCCACACGTTTATGAGTAGTCCGTTGATGTGCGGTGAAAAGTATTTGTGTTTATGATTGGCAATCACTTATGTTTTGCTTATAAGTTATGTTTCTATAATAAAACTAAATGAGATTAATATTGTTTGGTGAAGTATTAAGGAGCCTTAATATGTTGTTAAAAATTAGAGAAGGAAACAGCCTGGAAAACTCCTTAATCGATGAGTACTAATTAGGGGCCTTGACAATTAATAATTCACTCGCTAAACACCATAAAATTGACAAGCGAAAATGATAAGTAACTATGGAATTAACACTTCAAGAACTAACTTCTGGAAAGTGATTAGAAGAGGATTTTCAATGTTTAACGTCATAAGATGACTTTATTAAGAAAAAAACAATTACGGGAAGCCTAAAAATTAATGTTGATGGCTCTTGGACAGCAGGTCACACAGATGGAGGTGTGGGAATCATGGTGCGTGATTCTAACGGTAATTTTGTTGTGGGAAGAGCATTGTATGTGGACAATGTCTTCTCAGCTTTACAGGTTGAAGCAATAGCAGCTCGTGAAGGAGGAATTTTGGCGGTGGAAGGGGATTTTACTAATGTAATTTTTTAGAATGATTCTCTCCAGATCGTGTCAACAATCCGAAGTCTTTCTGTTGATAGGTCCCCTATAGGCCCAGTGGTTGAAGACACTAAGACGCTACTAACTCAGATCACTGGCGATGGTTTTACCTATATCCGCTATGTTGCAAATGGAGCGGCTCATCGTCTGGCGTGTTATGCTTCCCACATTGGAACTACTACTACTTGGTTTGAAGAACCGCCAGATCTTCTAATATTGTCATTCTCCTAATTATATTTAAATAATAAAACACTTAAGCTTGCGCCGCTTGCGGTTGAGGAGGCAGGCTACTTCGTAGCCGACGATTACTACACTTCGTTGGGTGTAGAGTACTTACCTAATCCTCTAGGGCTTGGTTCGGTTTTTTGTACTTGTTTGTACTTGTTACCCTTTTCTCGTCATTAATAAAACACTATCACCCTTGTGTTTCAAAAAGATAATATCTTATTGTTGGCCAATAAAAAAAACAAAAACAAAAACAAAAAAAGTTGTGAGAAGCGTGCAGCTTAAGTGGTTATGTGAATGGTTTGTTAATTTTTTTTTAAATATAATTAAGAGAATGACCAAAAAAAAAAAACTAAAATAACCAATCACATGGACTCTAGATAGTGGATTCTTGCCCAATTTTACATAATGACCATGGGCAAGCGAATTAATATTAATAACTAAATCAAAAAGTAAAGAAAATAATGGTGGTATGTATGACACATTTTTTGGGTTTTGTCACGTGAAAATTCAATAAATAAATATAAAATCCGACTCACAAATTTGTATTCTGATTCAACCTGGATATGAGATTGGGAAGCTAGGACGTCAATTATTATTTCTTCATATATAGTAAAGGAATTATATTCAACAATATTCTCAAAATTAAACCCATACAAATGTTAGAACGAAAATGTTTTCATCATGAAACCAACATAATATTAAGCCCCCAAAAACCAGAAGATCAAAATTGCCAGCCAGGTTTTCAAGTACAAGAAGTCAAATCAAGAAAACTCCACAAAGGAAACCGGCGGTCCTTGCCAGAATTCTTCCATCATTCAATTTTGGTAAACGGGCCAAAAGTGGTCGCACGGTTTGAAAGATATTTTAAAAAATAGAGTCAGGCCCATTAGCACTTGTTTGTCTCGATGAAATTGTCTTCCTCACGACTGGGCCTCTTTGGATGAATAAATGAAAAGGCCCAAGGTCAAGAAAGTCAAACCCTTATCTCACACTACACGTCAGAAATTGATAAGCGTGTCTTCTGAACCCACGTGGGAGGCCGAAGGAGATTATCACATTTAATGACGAATTGACTTCTTACTCGCCCAGCAAGAAAGCAAGTCGTATTGAAGCCCCCAAAAACCAGAAGATCAAAATTGCCAGCCAGGTTTTCAAGTACAAGAAGTCAAATCAAGAGAACTCCACAAAGGAAACCGGCGGTCCTTGCCAGAAATCTTCCATCATTCCCTCTATGAACTGGTTAAGATCAACGAACTAGCAGCTGACTTTGAACCACAAACCAAAGGTCTTGTCGCAATTTCTATCATTACAAGTTCATCCCCCTCTATAAATAATAAGGGTCTACTTCAGAGAAAGGACTCTCTCTCCAAAACCAGACGAAAAGTCTTCAAAAGCTCTTTCAAGATAACAATCTGCCTACTTTGCCATCAAGATATCCAGTCGACAAATCCTGTGATTATCTCTCATAGCTTTGCCATGTCCATGGTATGATTTTCTTTTAATATGTATGTCGTTTCAATTCATGTAATCTCTGGACTGGATTGATAAATTTCCAGCTCCTTTATCTTTGCTCTTTTGCTTGAATTTAAGGATAAATTAATGGATTAACCAAAAAATCTCATGTTGTTTAATTTGAAGTTCTGAGTAATATATAAATTGCAGAAGATTTGGTAGTTAAATTTTAATTAATCATCTGACAAAGAAAGCTTTGAATAATTTTAATACTTAAAATTGGATTCCCGCCATCCTATTCTTTGAAAAGCCAGGAAAACTGATATTCAGGCCCGAAAAGGGATAGGGGCCTGAACGATACAGTAAAGAAAAGGACAGGGAGTTGAGTTGGGCACGAACATTATATTGTCAGGCCCAAATTAATTACTAATTTAGTTCGAAAACGAGAAAAACATTGAAACAGGTTAATAAAGCCCAAGCAGGGTCTTTACTAATCACGAACTTGGTCTTACTCTATTGCCTGTTCAGATGCTGCTCATACATGTTAGGGTGACATTCACGAAGAAAAGAACTTTGAAGTCCTCTTAACTAAGGCATAGAAAAGAATCCATCTAGGCCAGTACCCCTCTTAGAGCACAATGACCCGATAAGAAGTCCATAAAGAAAGCGCAAACTCCACAAGTATCCATCATCCATATTCACACCAGATCTATTGGGCTAGTTGTATACCCAATAGTGGCACGCCTACGCAACGACAAGAGTCAGTATAAAAAGGAGCTGTTCGACGAGGCCTCAGTCTGGCCCATCCGTTCTGACAACTGATTCAACTTTCAATTTTGTTAGAAAATTGAAGAAGTCCTCTCCGCGATCCAAGAGACACCATCCGATCGGGGCATTGGTGTTGATCCGTCAACCTCACCTTCGTCCCTCAGAGCTAAGCTGACCCCTGCGGTTAGTAAAAGGAGCTGAGTTTAGATATTTTAGGCCTTTATATATATATTTTATATTTCTCCAAAGTCATTGAAATGCGACAAAGAGACTCTCGCAAAATTCACAAATGTACAAATGTGAGGATGAGGAATCAAATGGCCTTTGGGAGGAAGCAAACGGTACATTGGAATCTTGATAGCTACTTCTTCAATTTCAGAGATATGCTTGCAGAGTTATGCAGTACAAACCAAGGACAATAATTGCACAAAAGGTCAGGGGGACGATTATGAACTTGCGGAAGAATACATGCGAATGTCCCTTTCCAAATGGTCCATGAAATACAAGACTTTTTCTTCTTTTTATTTGTATGATGAACATTAGGGTTGCGTATAAAATCACTCATAAATTATACGTATAAAATCATAAGATAATCATAACATTATATTCTATTCGTATTCATGGGAGTACTGTTTTTATTTTATTTTTATGCACATGTAAATCATAGAGTTTGTTTTTAGTGAAGAATGGAGTAGGGGAATCACAAGTTTTCAAGTAATCTCTTATATAGTCAGCTAGTTTCCAAACTTTAACTATAATTAGTCTATCCTAATCTCTTTTTATAGATGTTTAAATTTAAGGTAAAGTAGTGAACAAGTAATGGCATATCAACATAAATGACTGACAATTGGTGATCAGCATAAATTTTCTGATGAATCATTACCTCTCTATCAATATAAGTCCTGAGGAGAACTAAATCCTACAACTTTATATATATATAAGCGATATTGGGAGAGGGGGGAATCAAACTTAAAACCTCATATGCAGAAGTAAAATGCTCTAAACCAACTAAGCTACAAGCCCCTTGCCTAAATCCTACTGAATGGTGCAAGTCATGGGAGACATAACACAATCTCTTAATTTAACGTATTGGATTAGTGAAGAGATCCAAATCAATAGTTAGGTAATGAGGGGGACACATTAACAAATACAAATGTATCAACCTAGACTTCCACTTCACAAGCCTTGTTTGCGTCGGACATTATGCCCATAATATAATGTTTATACATATAATGTCCAGAACAAGCGATTGTTTGTGCATGCAATGTGGCGTGCGCCACTCAATGCAAAATATTGCTTGTGTGGCTATGCTATTTTCGCTTTATTTTATTTATTTTTTAAGTGTATTTATGGGCGGTTTGTCTTATAGGAAATTGAGATTAATCGCCATGGCCAACAAGACTGTGTTTTAAGATTGTTTCATGATAATTTATTCTCAGCTGTCAAACTCTTGACAGGCACTGCCATGGAAGATTTTTGTTTTAAACTACAAATAACAAAAGCTTGGTATTTGATCTTGTATGCATGCATTGACGGACTTTTTCTTTTTCAAGATTCACACCATATTATATACTTGTCTTTGTATTGTTTACTTCCATCCAAATTGTATTGTGTACCACAAATCTAAGGTTTCTCGTTTATAATTTATAATTTAATAATAAAACTCAAAATAAAGTATGACCCCATTTAGGATTACTATTAGAATGTAAATATCGAACCCGAAATTAATAATTGACAATAAGTGGAGAGGTCGTAGATTTTCTCAACCCTTTCAGTTTGTATCGAAAAGCAAGTTGTGAACTTTGACTTTAAAATAGAGTTAGCATTTCAAAAGAAGAAAATAAAAAAAGAAACCTTAGTTTTGGTGGTGATCTTCAATTATTTGAATCCATACGTACTTGGACCTAACCAATACGCCATACTCATGCCAAATTCTAAGTAGGCAAAGAAACATTTAGCATGCATGCTGGCTCTAAGGTTGTGCTTTTGGCGATTTTCTCAAGCAGCTTTGTTTAACAGAATTTTATTTTATTAGCAATATGCTAATTAAATATCTGGAGTATCTCTGGACTCTGGCTGTCAAGTTGCTTGTGTTTCTATACTATAAAGGATGTGACAAGCTGGCCCATTTCTTAGTGAAGGATTTGCAGCTTGTGTCTTGTAGTTATAGAATAAAGTTGCCTGTATCTCTAAAATAATCTTCTCTGACAAGACAATCTAACATTTTCTAAATACTGGTGGGTTATTTTACTAGACACCCAAATCAGGGAAAAAAAAAACAAACTCCCAGTCAATAACATAATAACATGTGAAAAAGTTATCTCACATCTCATTGTGTTTTTTGATCAGGGATACTAAAAAGTGATATCCCCATTGCATGAGAGTTTCTCTCCAAATCAGGACCAAGCAGCAGATGAAATCATGTCTGAATCTGAATGTATCAGATATTTTTTAACAGATAATTAAGAGTTGAGGAAAATAAAACTCAAGTGATTGTATTTTTAAAATATAAATAAAAACCCTTCGCAGGGAAAAAAAACCACTCAGAAACCTTAAGTTAACCATCAAGTCTCAGGCTGTCGGTCAAGTTTGGAGGAATGTACTGGTTAAGTGATTATCACATATGAAAGGAAGCAATAGAAATAGGAAGAACAAGATATTTGAGCCATGGCTCCACTGAGGCATATGATGCTTCAAAATTTACAAAATTTATTATGCCATGCCAAATCCTTAATAAAGCATATGATGCGTCCTTTCTCTTACAACAACAGTACATAGAGCAAGCATGCACCAACAAAGTTGGGAAGTTTTCTGTTTCAAGCTTGTTAGTTCTTCAATCTCTATATCTACTATCATGGAGGAAAAATGGACATCTTATCAGCCAGTAATCATTTACATGCTATGGATTTTACACTCGAGTTATTGTTGTCATACCTAAAGGACAATTGCACCATGCATACTGCATTACATTACTCCAAACGCAGAACCATCCTCTTTCTTGATGAACAGTACGGTCGCCAATGTATTCCGACTTATAGGCATTCATCTCCCGTAGCTCCTACTCCCACAGAAGTTTGAAATAATTAAATTAAATAGTGCAATACAAGCAATAACATTCAATTGAAATACTGACACACAACTAACTTTTACAACCATCGAATGGTAGAAAGGAAGGTACGGAGAGAAATTCTCAGATTTTGAGTCATTTATCATGCGCCAATTCATCCTTTCCACAGCCCAAAACCACCTGGCTAAAACACATACACACAAATCTGCCTCTCTAATTTTTGTTCTGGGGAGACACAGTAATATGTAAACCTCGCAATTATTGTGATATAAGTCTGATCTAACAGCATTTCCATTAACTTTTGGTGGATTTTGTAGTCCAGAACTTTCTTTGTTTTCTTGTTCATATTGGTAGACTTGTTTCTGAAAGCCAAATTCACAAAGCTCAAACAATTTTTTGCATGCACCAGAAACTAAATTTGTCAAAACTATAGCTGAATTGAATAGTGAGGAGACCAGTGGAATGAACTGCAGAAATTTAATTAATAGAATGAACTGCAGATAGGTTTTCCAAAACAAATCATCAACACTAAGTCAAACTGTTCCTGCTTTCATATATTGGAATTTGGAATGAATTTAAACTCAAACAATTAGTTAATTCTTTGCTTACCATCTTTGCTTGAACTCTGTTCCATGTCAATCTGTTCTTGCCATGACTGCTTCATGTCAGAAGATTCACACTCCAAAAAAGAGTTGTCTTTTGATGAGGAACATGACTGTGGAACAGAAAATGAATTTCTGCTTGTTGTCTGCTTCTTAGACATTGAAGATTCAGCTGTAGAGCTGCAATCTTCATTTGTTCTCGAGGTCCCAGCTTCATTAGGATTGTGCAAATTATCTTGGAGTGGCCTTTCTTCTTGCATATGTTTGGATCTCTTCCTATTAAATTGGTTACTCTCGGAATTTTGACATGTAGGCACCTTCTGATCATTCGATGAGTAAGTAGGACAAGGAGCATTATTCTTTAAGATCACTTTTGGGATAGGCAAAATTTCAATACCATCGGAATTGTCAACAACAACTTCATCTGTGCCATTTGAGTTTGCAGCCTTTGCTGCTGCTTCCATTTCCCACATCTTGAATATAGCCTTGGTCAAATGTTCTCTAGCCAAATCTATCTCAATGAAAGGTTTTGGATAGTTAAATCCTAACTCTACCCCCGAAACTTTAAGCACATTATCTGGTGCATCCCAAGGATGATGGATCCACTCAGTTGGCAGACGCGCTAACTCAGGCAGCCAATGCCTTACATATTCACCCTCCGGGTCAAATTTTGAGCCTTGAACCTGACTCCCAAAATTCACATGAATTAAAGTTAGAATGGACTAAAATAGTTTTATGTTCCTCAAGAATAAATTTGTTGTGTTTTAGGGTATTCAGGTAGCTGCATTTTCTTTAGCTTTCAATTTATAAAGTACTGAAGCAAAACACTCACCTCTGGACTGTCCAAACGCTCAAGCTCATGGCCATCTGGTAAGCTCCCTGAGATATACTGCCAACCAAGGATATCACTTTCCAAATCAGCATCCAAAAGTGTGTCCCAGAAATACTTCATTCCCCATTTCCAAGGAAGAAGCAATACTTTCACAGCAAAACTTGATACGATCACTCTTATTCTGTTGTGTATCCACCCGGTTGCCCATAGCTCTCTCATTCCTGCATCAACCAAAGGGTACCCGGTCCGACCTTGTCTCCAAGCCTTAAAATTGTTCTGGTCAGCTTGCCAAGGAAAAAAATTCAAGTTGCTAAGCAGTGGTCTCTCATGAGTGAATGGAAAGTTAAAACAAAGATACCGTGAGTATTCTCTGAGCCCAATGGCCCTCAAGAAAAGAGTCACACTCTCAACCCCTATAGAGTTCCCTTCTTTTGCCCACAGTATCTGCTTCATTCGAGCTAACTGGAAAACTTTCCTCACGCTCAGTTCTCCAAAATGAAGATATGGGGATAAAAGTGATGTAGAGTTTTGCCCAACCTTTGTCCTGTTCTTTGAATATTGAAGCAGGTGCAACTCAGAAAATTCACTTAGAGCCTTATCGGCATTGCTCCAACCAGGAGACCATGCTCTTGCTAAGAGGGCATTGCTAGATTTTTCTGTTTCATTTTCAAGACCCAATTCCTCAATTGAACATTTTGCTACATTTCCTGTCAAATGAAATAAATTTGTCTTCTTTATTTGTTTCTTTCCCAGCAAATACACACACACACACACACACAAAACTCAGAAAGTCGAAATGTACCTGTTGCTGGCACCAATTTCCATGGAGGAAGGAGTGTGACAAGTTCCCGTTGCATGTTTAAGGACTTGTCCCAGTACGCCTCAAAGGTTGTAAAAGCTTGCCCTCTTGCATCATATACTTCCCATGGCTCATTCAACAGATCTGCATTGTAGCTTTGCACAGAAATGCCTAGCTCCACCAGCTTTCCTTTGATGTTGTGATCACAAACAAGTGAAATAGGATCTGGGAAGGAAAAGCAATAGAATATTTACAAATTGGAAAGAAACGAAACACCTTGAAGCAATTTGCAAGAAGCATCAACACACCTAGCATGCATGACAGATAAGGGCTCTGTTCTCCAGCACAACGCTGATTGCCGACTAAATAAAATCATTTTCAATTTGATTTGTGACATGTGCCTTCGACTATAAGACAACAAAATCTTTGACCTCATTTCGTGAGTGAAATTTGTAAAATGTCATTGATATCACAAGAGAAATCTTCATTTTAGTCGAGCTGAAAAATAACCGTTAGTTGTGGTGTATGTTATACTGGTCAATTTGCTAACACCTTAGCTTTTGGGATCAATGTTAACTTAACAGTTACAACTGCACAGGGGTAAAGCATTAAGGATGCCACAATCATCCTCTACAACCCTAAAACAAAAAACAAATATAGACGTCCAGAAAGGGACTGAAATGTCTAATTCAATATATAGAAATCCAGAATGAATGATGGACCTTGAGCTCTCTCTGTCTCTCACAGAGGGGCATTAAGTCACATAAACAAAAATATTGAGAGAACAAACGAAATAAGGTATCAGAAATGAATGAAAATTAGATCTTCACTATGCTTTTAGAAAATCAACGTTATATCAGTTGACTGAAACTACTTTGAGGGTTGGCTCCAGAACATACCATAAAGATGGTTGAATACTACTTTTGTAGCTCCAATGGCTTCAATGCACTCCAAGAGAGCAGCAAGAGTGCTCTGGGTTCTGATTAGCACAAGTTCAGCCCCAAGGGATCTCAGGGAATGGTCCAAGTGAGCAAGAGACTGCTTTAGCCACCACCTCGAAACTCGACCCGGGTAAAATTGTCCTTCATCTTGAGGACACCATATATAAAGAGGGAAGACGCTACCATCCCTAGCAGCAGCAGCTAAGGCAGGATTATCCTCAATCCTGAGGTCCCTTCTAAACCAAACTATAGTCTTGTTGCTACCCATCTTGTAATTCAGTTTCTTCAGGATCAAATTTCAGGATCAAATTTCAGTATCAAGTTTTATAAAAGTCTCAAAAATTTCTCTTCCTCCTTCCTCTACTCATTAGCCAGTAGCCACAAATCCCAGAAATCAGACTGAAGGTCCTCAATCAAAGAAAACCATAAAGCAACTTACAATCACAAACTGCAGCTTTTGCCAGTAGAACGACAGCAAAAAACTTTGCCCAGTCAAGGGAAAGATCTGGAGATAATTCTCCGCAGCTGAACCTGGGAAGTGAAGATTATTTTGAACTACCAAGGACCCAAAAAGGCCAGCCTATCAAGATGTTCTGGGTCAAAGAAATTTGACTGTTCCCAACCTATCTGTGGACCAACTGAGCCTTCCCTACATGTTTCACCAACTGAAAAAGTAAAACTCTCCATGAAGTCATCAACCAAACAACAGAACTCCACAAAATAAAATCGCCAATACCCAGCCGACAACTTTTAAAGAGCAGAAAAAAAGCAACCCAAAGTGGCAAACACTTACTCAAGAAGATCCAAAGAACAGTTCATGCATTTGGGTGCACCTTGTGTCGTTAAACACAATTCCACCTGCAATAGAAGATTAGATTTCATGTGACTGAAAAATAAAAAATAAATACGAATCTGAATCTGAGTGAGACCAAACGAAAATAATTACTTATTCATACGCAATAAAGAATATTTTGGAAAAAGAAAAATAGAAACAATCATACAGAGGGCTTTAAACAATACCCAATTCTCTTTTTCTGGATTATCCAGAAAGATCTCAAATACCCACAACTTGGCTAAGAACCCAAAATCAAATATGAAGGATGCATACTTTTCCCATATTTCCTGGACATGGGAAAAGAAAATAGTGCACAAATAAATAAACAAAAAAAGCTTTACCTTGTGTACAATTTGTGCAGAGAGGTGGTCAATACTGTGAATCAAAGAAATGGCTTTACGTGACTGTATGATTATCCCATTAACGTAACATCACGTGGAGATAATGACAGTGATTATGGTAGGCGACGATTTCTTGTCTTCTTTGTGAACCCCACTGGTAAAAAAGATAAGGCTAAGCCCGTTTGGTTCATGAAAAAGAAGGTTTGGGAATGGGGATTCAATTGCTTTTTTATATTTAGTAAGTTCAAGCAAGGGAAGTAGTTGTCTTACACATGGGAAAATAGGGGGGAAAGTGAAGCCCTCCTTTAACTTGGGTTTTGTTTTCCCTCCTCATGGGAAAGTTTGGGAAAATAAGTCAACATTTAATGCACAATTTTCATGATTATTTTGTCCAACAATTTATAATTACAACGTATCATTAAATGCATTTTTTTTATTTGATTTAATATTGGTATAATTGAAAAAGTATACAAATTTTGTTTATTCCTACTCAAAACAAACATGGGAAAGGAAATAAAGTGAAATCTCCCGGTTACTTTTCTGACATTACCAAACGTGGGAAAGGAATCTTTCATTCCCATTCCTTGGTAAATGACATGGGAAATTATTTCCCCTCAAATTTATTTCGTGAACCAAACGAGACCTAAAGCTCTTGTTAGGCCTCCCTTTAACATTTGCACCTATAGGGTCCTATAGTCCTTTTAACCTTACCTTTTGGTCCTTCAGAATTGCAAGACCAACCAAAGAGTCCTGAAAATCCCTTGAACTTCACAGACAGCATCACATGTTTTAGAACTTTTGATTTGACCAAACTTCCAAACATTTGCAAATTATCTTATTTTGTTTCTAAATTAAGAAATGGTTTTGCTTTTGTTACCACTTTCTTTAATGTTGTTTAGCCTCATTTTGATGGGAAGAGAAAACTCGGACTTTCCGTAAAGTATTAATTGGTTTTGTCCTCTTTGCATGCAGATCATGCTCATCTTCTACCATTTTAGCATCGAAGAAACAAGAATACCTACCTAAGTATCCTCAATTTTAAAAGTTCTGTTTAACCAAATTCATAAAAGCTTGATGTACCAAGAGAAATTAGGCAAAAGGATTATCTGGGTTAGCCTTGAAATTTTCTTATCTGCATTTGCTTTTCCTTGAGGCTTCTTTTCTTTTTTTCTTTTTTAACTTAAAAGTAATTTAGTTCTCTTAGAGCACAAAACCATTTTCACTAACTGTTGGATCAAAATTTAGGCTGCATCACCAAACCGTTTCACACCATGTGATGTGCCTGAAATCCAACCTTGTACCAAATGGTCTGATGCTTGAGCATGGTTACAAGGCATCAGAAAGCAAAACAAGAAGACAACCAATATGATCCCTGACTTGTAACATAGTTGATCTGATTTTTAATTTTAATTTGACTCGTTTATGGAGACAGTCTAATTATATCAAAGCTTCCATAATGCCCGGGGACCATTCAAGAACTGAGCTAAACTAGCATTAAAACACATGAAAGCTAGAAAACAGGCGGCCATCTATAACATTCAGTTTCGTGTTGTCGGTTTCTCTTAGGTGACCCATCTTGCACCAAGTTGCCGCAAATTCAAAAGGTAAATTGATTAACGAAGAGCAATGAAACAATACCAAATGGGTTATTATTGTTTCGGATGAATAACCTAAAGGCAAATTTCTGTAGCAGCAAATGGATCCCTTCAACTATCACGAACAAAGGTCATAAAATTCATAACCGATCCATTCGTCTTTTTAGTACTCATTGCAAAACTAAAACGTACTATGATGAAAAGTGGTAAATGCAATGCAAGGAGAGACATCCCCGATAGAGCATGAATATCTATTCCATAGAACATGAGTCAAATTATCATTATCCATTACCATATCCAACGTCACCTGAGAAGCATCATGGTAATAAGGAAGCTCATATTCCGGTGTCATTGAGATCATAATCAGAGCCCCTAATCAGCCTTCCCAGGTGCTGATTATTAATTATATTAAACTATACCTAATTTCTGCCAGGAACATATAATGCACATATTCAGACCAGAAAAGTAATTCCCTCGAGTTCCCAAAGAAGCCTAGGTGCTTCTCTAAAATACCTAACCCTTTTAAAACAAGTGCTCAGTGTGCACGGTCCCTAAGGACTTCTAGTTCCATCTCGGTTGGGTCAGTTGCCTGGATTTCATAATGGATACCGTCCAGCTCCCTCCTGAACCTGTCCTTTGATGTTGCATAGAGCATCTTGGCACGGATCCGTGACACAGAGGGTGACCTGGAAAAGGAAGCATCAGTATCACATCAAAATTGAAATGGCAAGCCAATAGCAACTCAAAAGGGGGGAGAAAAGCAGTATCATACAGAAAATAGTAGAAACACAACCACATAGAGATCACAACGAGACCCAAATCATCAACAAGATCCATAGTGTTTATTCAAGTTTCACATAAACCAAGTGGGATACGATGATGAAAATAGGTGGAAACAATCCTTGGAAAAGAGCTCAGCAAGGAGCAATTAAGCTGAACTCGATCCAAAAGTGTTCTAGGCTACATTAACCCCAGCTTCCAATTCAAAAACCAAGCAAACTATAAAAATCCTCCAATATACCAACACAAAAACGATCCTCACCAAATGCTTAAGAAGTAAAGCAAGTGGAAAATGAAACTCATCGCTATGTTTGCCATCATAATTTGGTCCAGGGGGAGCATTCACCTACTTATGTGACAAACTTTCCAAAGGATAATTGCAATTAGAGAAGGTCAAAACACAGCATCATCTCGAATAAAACACAGTTAACCAAAAGAAGAGTCACTAGCATCAATTAGTTCGATTGGCAATTTCAACTGCATTTTGAATCAGAAGAAGTAACCATACAAAAGAAACTAACCATGCAATGAAAAAGATCTTGCTCTTTTGACAATTCTCGGAAGTGACAAAATCAAAGTCATAAATTGCATATCGGCAGTCATTCTCAGGCATTGAAGCAGTGAAATCATCATAGCTTTCAGCTGGACCTCCAGTCTTTTCAACCACAACCTCTTTTTTCTTCTCGTCAATTTTAAAAATCACATAGCGATAAGCCTTCTTCCTCTGCAGTTCCAAGAATGTGTTTTTGCAGTGCTCAGCAACACCCATGCCTGATGAAGCATTTCCCTGAAATGAAAACCCAGTGTTAAATACTTGCTCCAAACAGCATTAACTACCAGTTGTCATTTTTGCAGAGCATAATAAAATCAGAATTTCACTTCAAGACATCGTTAAACAAACCCGTCCAAGAAGAACAAGCACCAGGACGCTATACAGGATTAAATCAAACATATGCTTAATCCTTCCCAAACTTGAAAGTTGCCATTTGGAATTACACAGACATTGATGGCCCATAACAACATTTGAATTTGTAATTCCAATTGTGGATACTGAATTTCATATTTAATATTTGGAGCCAACAAAACAAAACCCATGATCACTCCAAAGCCACCAAACCCAAATAAAAAAACTGATAATCCAATTCAAAGTCCAAGTCCCATGTCTCCATAACATGCAACGAAAGGAATCACATCTTTGTCAGATTCGGACACCCACATCCACAAACAAGAAACCTCAAACCAGATACTGCCTTTATATAAATTCTAATAAAGCCATCAAATTTGTTCAAGAAAATGGATTGCTACGACAAAAGTAAGAACAGAAGTTACAGCCACCATTATATATCCAGTGTACGAAAAAGAATAAACTGGACTTTTAGCACAAAAAAAATTTCTTAAATTTCTTCTTAATAAATTAAAGTGAAGTACAAACAACCCAGAAGAGAAAAGCTTTGCAACAAGCAGATTACTAACTAACGCCATTAATAAGTGCAAGTAAATCGATAAGCGACAAAAAAAAAATCTTAAATTTCTACAGAAAACAAAGAGAAAATGAGTTCGCAGATAAAAATCAAGCCCATGTGTTTATCGGCTGCCAAAAGCAAACCAAAACCCAGTAATCAGAACTTTAAAAGCACCAAAAAAACAGAAACCCAAATCTATAAACCCAGAAGAGAGAGAAAAAAAATTATAAATAGATCTGAACAAGTAACAGATGAAACTTACTCCTCTGAAAGCCATAACTGTTACGGAGGCAGATAGAGAGAGAGGAAGGAGCTTATGGAGAAGAAAGAAGGAGAATAGGGAGCCACTGAAGAACAAAAGGAGAGAAGGGAAAAGAACCAAGATTCGCGTTTTGAGGAGGGGAAAGTAAAAAAGAGGCGCGTCTCGTATGTGTGTTTTCCGTATCTCGGTCTAAATATTAAGTAATGTATTATTCTTTTTCCAGACAACGACCCGCCATTCCGTGTTAGAGGAGAATTCATTGATGTGGTCATATCGGATTAGGTTTACTAAATTTTTCTCAAGTAGCATTTGCAATTTACCTGTTATAATATACGTAGGACATGTGTTTTTACTTATATTATTATAGGTGAATTAGTAATACAACGTAACGGTATTATTGTCACACCAAAAATTTTATCATATACAAACAACATGTATTAGGTCATTTACGTGAGAGTATATGTGACCGTTGACTATATGCTGTGATAAACCCAAAATTAATTTACCATAGCTACAGAGTTGATGCTTGAATTTTTATTTTTTTTAATCTAAGCAATAGTCTCAACTATAAAAGAATGAGGGTTTTTCACGCACACTATAAAAGTTATGGAGGTTCAAACTTGAGATTACTAGTCTATAAATCACGACTCTTTTTCATTGAGCTAGACCTTGTTAGCAATATTTATGTAGCATTTGTGGACCATCAATCATTGTATACTGGATGGTTGTATAGGGAGCTTCTACAATGAGAAGTTAAAGTGAGGAGGTTATTTGAGGAGACCGATCCGACCGTCAAAACATTTAAAATATTTAAGTCTCATGATTTCTTTACATTTGTTGATGGTGAGATTTGACCTCCTCAAATAACCTCCTCACTTTAAGCCCTCATTATAGCCTTTCCGTGGTTGTATAAACTATGCATAAGCTTTTCTAGTTACAAATAATAAGGATACAACCTCAACCAATGTGATGAAAAGACAAAGGGGCAAAGAAAAATTATACAATCCAAACACAAAACCAACTTTTGAGAGTCCATCGGCCGAAGAAAAATCATACAATCCAAGACAGAGAAACCCCA